TATATATACATATACACATGTACACATGCACACGTACATGTGTGCCTGTGTTTTCGTCGCTATGTTCTCGCTGAGACAGCGTGTTCAACACAGAAGGATCCGAGTGCTCACGTCAGAGCATTACGCCAGTCCCGTGGACTGGGCAGAGGACCAGTTCGCCAAGCCGTTGGGACTTCCAGGCCTTCTGGGCATCCACGCCATGCATTGTGCGTTTGTCGAAGGGTACAACTGCGTATCCATACACATCTTATAAGTACTGTATGTGTATATATATAGACATTTAGATATATGCATGTACATAGTATACATCTATCTATCTATCTATCTATCTATCTATCTATCCATCTTTTAAATCTATCTAAGTATGTGTGTATATATATATAACAGCAATAGTAAGAAGCAGAATGCCTGCTCGCCCCACAATTTTCTCGTCATGATCCACCTCAGCTTCTTCATCTAGTGACTAGCGCGAGGAAGTGGATAAAGGGAGGGGGGAAGGTGCCCAAGCATCGGCAGGACGCTTGGCCAGGCGGCATTACCTCAACTGCCCAAAATCCACAACAGACACTTATCTGAAGACTGCCCGGATGTTTGATTGACATACTGGGTATTTTTGAGCCCATGAGCAAAAGGTACTCTAATTGCACTAGGGGTAGCAGTACTAGTGGTAGCAGTAGCAGTAGCAGTAGCAGTAGCAGTAGTAGTAGTAGTAGTAGTAGAAGTAGTAGTAGGAGTAGTAGGAGTAGGAGTATGAGTGGTGGTGGTGGCAGTGGCGGTAGTCGTCGCCGTCGTCGTCGCTTCCCCCATTGTTTAGCCCACCCCCCCAGTGCTGAAACGCTTTTCGGAAAACCCCCTGTCATCATCTCCGCTTGTTTGAAAACTAGTTTGCACTAGGGAGTTCTGGAGCCAGAGCAGGAGAGGAGCAAGAGCCAGCGCAGCAGCAATAGCCGGAAGAGGAGCAAGATCAAGATCCTTCAAAGTGACAGCAGAGATACAAATGCCCCCCTGGTAGAAAACATATTCCGAGTTTTTGTTGCGGGGCGGACCCTCTCGTGATGTGAGCTGGGCGGGTGGGAAACAGTGCTAGGGGGGATGGATTAGTTGCAGTAATCGTAGCAGAAGCAGCAGGAGTAGTAGCAGTAGCAGTAGTAGTAGTAGTAGTAGTAGCAGAAGCCGGAGTCGTAACAGAGGCAGTAGCAGCAGAAGTAGTAGTACTCGTCGTCGTAGTCGTGGGGCCCAAGATCCAAGGTACCAGAGCTGTTTCGGATCTCGGCTCCCGGAGCTGAACCGACTAAAGTGGACTAGATTGGATTTTTATCGGGTTGCCTCCGGTTTCGAGGTTGCTTCGAGAGAGCTCTGCTTGACGTTGGGGTCTTGGATCCCACCGATTTGAAAAAGCGCAGGATTCAGCTGCTATCCGGGAGAGCTGCGGGATTGGGGTTCCCGCAAGCCACGAAGTGCCAATCCATACGTGAATACATACATACGTACATACATACATGCATGAGGTAGGGCCGGTTTGCATCCGTGATTCCCAGCATCCCCTACATCTCCTATTATTGGGCAGTGGTTTCACCCCCAGATCGTGACGATTGCGTGTCTTTCTCGGGCTTCGCCGCTTCAGCACCGTGGATAGAGTGCATGCCCGTCCTCCGGAAAGGATGCGTACTTGTGCATGTCATTGGCTGGGTTTTGGGTGTGACATGCCTGGACGGATTTGACGGGCTGTCTGGCTCGGGGTTTCTACGGTTCGGAAGTTTTGTACACAGTACATGCATTTGTCGACATGATGGCAAGAAGATGTGTATATGGGCAAGGCTTCATGGCATAGTGAGGCATAGAGCTTGATGAGCAGATGGCTAAATACATCTTTTCATGGTGTGTGTGTGTGTGTGCATGTATGTACATGCATTCAGGCAGGCATGCATACATGCATGTATGTGTGTATGTATGTATACATGTATGCACCTGTGTTTGCATGCTTGTATCTGTGTCGATACAACAAATGCAACAACAATGATCGATAGAGTCAGATAGGAGATAGAAAGATGGATCGATGAACCGATCGTGATGTAGATCGTTAGATAGCCATGTAGGTAGGTAGAGGTCGGAAGGCAGGTAGGTAGGTAGATAGTTCGGTAGACAAACAGGTATAGAGAGCTCGACGGATGATTTCGACTATTTTTCGGTGTGTGTGTGTGTCTGTGTGAGTGTGTGTGTGTGT